GGTAAATTGTCCCAGAGACAGGCGGACATCGAAGGCCAGAGTTAGGTTTGGGCACCTGTCCACGTCAGCCCCGCCTGTCCCGAGGGCTCTTCACATCTGTCTCTGTCCCTGTGTCTGTCACTCACTGTGGCCCGTGGCACAGCTCGGCAGACAGGGCTCAGAGAGCAGGTGCCCACGCCGCTCTGCGTTCCTCCCCTTGCCAGTTGCAGAAAGTCCTTCCAGTGTGCTTCCGGCACAAGGAACGAGGCCTGAGCATCACCATGCACCCGTTTGGCTTCTCCCCAGGGGCTCACTGGGTGGCATGGCAGATGGACAAAGTCCACTCGCCAGCAAAGTGGCAGGACACAGGGTGCCAGGGAGTTGGCACCTGCAACAGGAGGGTGTCTACCCGGGCAGTGCGAGAGAGCATTTTAGAAACAAAATATACTTGATACTATTAAAAATAAATGAGTCAGGCATAGTGGCACATGCCTGTAATCACAACAGTCTGGGAGGCTGAGGCAGGAGGATTGCAAATTTTAGCCCAGCCCAGGCGACTTCGTGACTTAGGGAGACACGGCCTCAAAATTGAAAATAAAATGTTTTAAAGGGGCCCGAGGATATGACTCCGTGCACAGGCTCTGAGTTCAAATCCCAGCACCTCAGAAATAAATAAATGGATAAGTACGTAGGTCGACACAGTGGAACGGTGGACTAAACAGCTGAAGAGAAATGTCCGCAATGAAATATCAAGTTAAGGAAATTATCTACCAAGAATACAAAGCAAAATGATAAGCAGCTACACTGTGAAGGGGGAGCAGAGCTGCTCAGGCTAACGCGACAGTGCTGTTTGAATCTATGTTTGAATTAATTAAAGTTAGGTAAAAGTAAAACTCCGTTCTTTGGTGCAATAACCGTATTTCAAACGCTCACGGCCCTGTATGGCTAGCGGCTCACTCGTCATTGCCGCCCACAGCAGGAAGTCCTGCCCGCGGGGGACACCAGGTTATAAAGTAGCAAAGACAGAATCCAATTTAGGTCCGGCTGGAGCTGCAGAAGAAAATGAGAGAGAGAACGAGGAAGGGCTCATACTTTAGCAGGTAACAGCTGAGACTGTGCCGCCAGGGAATTCATTCTACAGAAAGCACAAGTTATATCAATCAGAACCGATGAGAGAGAGCGAGTCACACCCAGCGTCACTGCAACAAAAATGAAGCGCACCGAAGACAGAAAATCTCAAAGTACCTAACAGGGGCACAGCACTGACTCCTCTTTTGCACAAAGGAAGACAGAAAATCCTAGCGCGAGGCCTGCCAAGTGCTGAGAAAATAACTGTCGGCCCGAGAGCCCCGTCCGTACGGCGCTGCTTTCTGACAAACAGGTGTGAAGCATTTATCTCCAAAATGCTATTACTCAAGAGAGATTTTCAGTCCTGTGCTTCGGGAATAAGGAAAGGTAGTCCAGAAGGCAGGTCTGAGGTAAAAGAAGTGCTGAACAAACGAAGAGGTAAACGGGTACGTAAAATGTTGAAGCAAACGCTATCGTATAAAATCATCACGACGACAGCTCCCGAATTATGAGGGGGTGGTTTTTTCAAACAGGGACAAAATGAAAACTACTGGACATGCCGCCCGTGAGGCAGAAGGAACTGCTGTTGACTACTTTACGTGACTCTCACAGGTCAGGACAGGGCATGGACAGAAGAGTCAGGCCTAGGTTTGATGAGTGACTACGCCCGTGGGTTTTCGAAGGCAACCGTGAAGGCCGTGGCTGTAGAACCTCAGCGCCTGGGAGGCCTGTGTCCGGCCACCCCCAGAACTTCTCCGGCTCCTAAAATTAGCATTCCTGACAAGCTTCCGGCCTTCTGATGCTGCCGGCCTAGGGGTCCCCCTTTGGGAACCACTGCCCTACACCCAGAGGGGCAGAGAGCTTCCCTTCTGAGCCAGAAGAGGGGAAGAACCGGAGTGAATAAACAGCAGGTAGGACGGACCCGCCCTCCACCCTGACCAGGAGGAGCTCATCTGGCCGCCACACTTAGATGTGAGGGAGATGAAATTTAACTGCACTGTATTTCATTTAAACCAATGCACCCCGAATGCTGTGGTTTTGCTACGCGATCCGGGCACATATTTAGTGAGATAATTGGCAAATCTTTTTCCCCCACCGTAAGCCTCCAAATTCCAGCATCTGTTTGACACGTCAGGCGCCTCTCAGTGTGGACAAGCCACGTTCTGTGACAAGCACTTTTGTGGGTCCACGAGGCTGGAGCCTCCTCCCAGGACCACGGGCCTGCAGAGGACCCAGACCCCCACAAGGTCACTGAGTGTCCACTCTGTGCCGGACTCCGGCCGACTGCTGCCCTCAGTACCTGCTGCAGCCCTGCCGAAGTCTACCTGCGAGATCAGGGTTTATTTATCAAGCCCATTTTACAGACAGGGAAACTGAGACCAAGAACACCGAAAAGCACGTCCTCAGGATCATCTCCTTCGCTCCAACCTTCTTTCTTCCCCCGCCCCATCCGCCCCTGCACCCCCACCTGGCCCAGAATCTCGGCTCCACGACTTAGCCAGTCCCTCCCCTCACCTGGCCAGCAGCCCTGTCCTGACCCGGAGAGTGACGGGACCCCTCCCTGGGCACCTGAGCTGAACCCAAGACGCCTTTTACCCCAGGGTGCCCCACTGTTCTCCTGAGGCGTAGAACACACAGCCTTCACCCCGGGAGGGGGAACAGGGAGGCCGGCGGTGACCCCGCTCCACCCCACCCGCTCAGCCACTCACTGCCACTGTGTCCCCCCGCGTTATGGGGGGAAACCGAGGCACAGAGGAGCGAGGACTCTGGCATGGGGGTGAGGGACGAGTGGGGGTCCCCAGGTGGGCACAGTGGTTTCTGTCCTACCAAGAGCTTAACCAGGAAAAAGGCGGGGAGGGAGGTCAGGAGTACCCGGGAGGAGGAGCAAGGCCCCGGCTTACCGTACTCAGGGGCCGCTCTGCGTGCAAAGCCCGGCCCAAGGCCTCCAAAGTCTGCAACTGTCGGAGCACCGGCTCGGCAGCCCCCAAGCGGCAACTCCGCGGGGAAGTTGGGTTCCGGCCACTAAAGCGCCGCACCAAGCGCCCGAAGCCGAGGGTCAGGCGCCCTTGATGCCCGAGCAAGTTCCCGTTTATGCCTCAGCCACGCGAGACCGCTGGTTACCGCCGCAAGCATCCGGGTCCCAAGGATTTGGACCCGGGAAACTCAGCCCAGGCGGTCCAGGCAGAAGCCTCGGACGCAGCGGAGAGTGCACGTGTTCACAGATGCCCGCTCACAGTCGTGCACAACTATCCATCAGCTCCATTTGGGGGTAGACTCCCCCCACCCCTGGGTACCGGGGATCCAACTCAGGATCTTGCGCTTAGGAGGCAGGTGGCAGCACCATTGAGCTAAATCCCCAGCCCAGGGATGGACTTTTTACGTCTAATATACATTTATGCGCATTGATATTGTACATTTTATATACATATACTCTTTAAAATGCAGTTGGGTTTACCTTGAACTTCCTGCTGTTTAGCAATCACCTGTGGACACAGTCTGAGGTCCAAACACTTCTCCTGTAATCGATTTTTTATTTAATTGCATGACTTCCAACTAAGAACAGAGTATCATCTATCCAGATAAGCTCCCATCGATAACTATTATTGCTTCCCAGTTCAACTTTTCTGAAGTTTTAATAAAACACATGACCAGGTGTGGTGGTTCATACCTAGAATGCCAGCACTCAGGAGGCTGAGGCAGGAGGATCACTGTGAGTTTGAAGCCAGCCTGGGCTACATAGTGAGTTCAAGGCCAGCCTGGACTACCTAGTGAGACAAAAACAAAACATAAGGGCTGGGGCTTTAGCTCAGTGGTTCCACTGCCTGCCTGGTAAGTGCAAGGACCCAAGTTCAATCCCTGGTACCAAAAAAAAAAAAACAAAGCAAAAAACCAAATAAACAAACAAGCTATACATGGATACATGTATATGTGCTGCTTGGGTAATAACAAAGAACAGCAAGAAGAAGATAGCTTTATTCTCCCCAGCTCCCTAACACTTGGTGTGAACTTGTTACCCCTGTTTTCACTCTGCGCTCTATTTGTACTGAGGGATAAGCATGTTTTTAGATCACCATGATCGGTCATTATAATTAGATCACTGTGTAGGGTTGTGACAGGGTTGTTTCTAATCAGGCTGATTTTTAACTCTTGTCATTTCTCATTGGGTTGCATCTGCGTGAGTCTTTACTTAACCCCGCTTTAGAGAGTCTTTCCCCTCTGGGCTCGATCTGTGGGGCTTGAGCTTTGCCTGTTCACCAGATGTCCGTGCGGCCAAGCTGACTACAAATGGGCCAGAAGTGCTGGAGAAACTTCTCATTTTTTTCCTGCCAGCGAGGGCCATTTCAGAAACCAGCTTTAGCATTAAGGAGTGGAGCTGGGTCCCATTTATCCCAAGAAAATGAAGCACCCAGCTGCCCAAAAATGACTTCCACCGCTGTGTCCACAATAGTGAAAAATTGGAAACATCCCCGGTGCCCATCAATAGGAGGCAGGCGAAATAAATCACAGCGCATCCTTCTGGCCTCGTGCTGGAAGTCTCTATCGAGGTGGGAAACTCCTTCCACTGTGCTGGTGACAGAAATGTGTCCCGGACCGGAGGGAACTCCTTCCACTGTGCTGGTGACAGAAATGTGTCCCGGACCGGAGGGCGCCGGGCAAGCCTGCGGGGCTGTATGTTTGCAAGCCTGTGGGGTGGCCGTGTCTCCCAAAGGGTATTTAACTGACCACGGCCCGCTGCTGTCTCGGGTGGCGGGGGGAGTCTCCTGTCTGCTTCGTTTCCTTTTCCTCCTGGAGTAAGTCTACCGTTCTGATTATTCTTTTCCCTGCACATGTAAAGATTAGACTTGTGATAGGGTGAGGGGTGCCGCCCGAGACAAACCAAAGCCACTGTGATCGAGGGGGGACCCGCTTGCCTCCCGGTCCCCCCAGCGTGGCCGTGCACTTCTGTGTTGCAGACTCGGACAGCCAGTGCAGCCCCACGCGGCACAGCCTCGGCCTGTCGGAGGGCGAGGAGCAACTGGACCGGCTGCAGCACGTAGAGCTGGTCAGGACCACGCCCATGGCCCACTGGAAGGCCGGCACCGTCCAGGCCTGGCTGGAGGTGGTCATGGCCATGCCCATGTACGTCAAGGCCTGTGCGGAGAACATCAAAAGCGGGAAGGTAGGCGCTCCGGCCAGTGGGACACACCCTGCATACCGGGAGCTGGCCTGTCCTGGTGGCACGTTCCTGCACTCTGGGAGGCCGAGGCAGGAGGATCACAGGTGTCCCCTCCTGGAGCAGGTCTTGCTGAGTCTGAGTGACGAGGACCTGGAGCTGGGCCTGGGCGTGTGCAGCTCCCTGCACCGGCGCAAGCTCCGCCTGGCCATCGAGGACTACCGGGACGCCGAGGCGGGCAGGAGGTAAGCCAGGCACCACGGAGCCCAGGGGACACGAGGAAGGTCCTGGGCCTCTGCATAGCACAGCTGGGCGAGCGGGACGGCAGGCCACACGGGGCCCACGAGACACGCACAGGCGCCCACAATGCCCATGCACCCCCAACCCTGTGCAGGGCTGGGGTGGACGATCAGGTGCCCCAGAATACCTTTACCTCCGGGGGCTGCCGAAGCCAATCAGTACCCTAGATCCGCCGACACCTACCGGTCACCTCAGCTCGTGCCAGTCTGAAATGAGGAGAGGGTCCCCCAAACTGAACTCTGGCCGTTCCCAGAGCGGGCAGGGCAGCAGAAAAAGGCAGGACTGGGCTCACTAGACACCAAATGCAGAGGGCCAGGCGGGGACAGGGCTCCTCTGGGCAGCTCACCGGGCCGGCTGGCGGAGGTCCCTCCCCGCGGGGCCATGTCACGTCCTGCAGGCCTTCCTCCTCGCAGACCACGCCCCTCACCCCCAAGGGCTCCGGGGAGAGTGATGGCGCCCCACGCACACCGGTCCGCAGCCTGAGGGGACCGGCTTTGTAAAGCTCACACTTTCTGTTTTGCATAATCATCTCCTTGGCTGACTTCCCCTCCTTTTCCTGCAGTTCATTAATCAAACTTGGTGGCGTGTGCCATTATGTGCAGAAGCAGCTTCGGGGCTGGAGGTGGAGCATCAGACCAGTTTGCAGGCAGGAAAGCCAGAGCCATGTGTGGCCAGGAGAGGCAGGAAACTCTGACCCGAGGCGCCATCAGAAAGCTGGGTAGCAACTCCAGCAGCCGGGGAAGGAACAGGGTCCGTTCACAGGTCGGGACACTGGCCGATCACCTAGGGGATGAGGCAGGGGCTGGAGACGGAGTGGGGTGCTGCAGGACCGGGAGGCCCCCCAAGGACTCCCCACCCCCACTGGATCCCACGGCGCCACCCTGCCCCACTCCCTCGCACGCCCAGAGGGGCCTGCATTCATCGGTGAACCAGGCAGAATAATCCCACTTCAGCCTGGAGAAATGCAGGGAGACCCGGCCGCTGCCCAAGGTCCCCGAAACACGAAACACGGGTGCCTCAGTCTGCTCCAGCTGCTATAACAAAACCCCACTGACCTGGGCTAAAACAACCGATTCTGGGGCTGGGAGTCTGAGATCAGAAGCCGGCACGGGCAGAGTCAGGGTTCTCCTTACTTCCTGCCCAGTCCTCGTGTCCTCACCTGGCAGGGAGGTGGTGGGGAGAGGGGAGAGAGGGAGAGTGATCACCCACCCTCACCACCTCAGGCAACCCTGATCCCGCCCAAAGGCCCCACTGGCAAACAAGACCTCGCCACGGGTCAGGGTTCAAGCTGTGACATCTGGGGGCAGACTTACAGCAGTAGCAGTACTGACCTGAAAACCTCCCAGAACCAGAGTCTGTGTTGCCGGTGGAGGGTCCATCCCGAGGATGACGGAGCCCCAACCCTGGACACCCCAGGGCCCCTGGGGAGAGGACTTAGTTTGGATTTTCTGTTTCATGCGCAAATCTGGTTGTCTCCAACTTGCCATGGGGCCTCACCTGCTCTGGGACTCAGTTTCCCCACTGTGAGGGGGTTAAGCTAGGAAAACGGTTCTTGAATTTTGAGGAGCATGACTTCTTTGAGAACTCCATGAAAGCTTCTGGTACCTTCTCCAGGAGGAGTATGTAGACCTAAGTCTACCCTGTCCGACCCCTGGCCCACCCTCAAACGTCCCAGAGGCCCTGGGCTCAAGGTGAGAGCCCAAGTGGGCCCTCTCCGAGAATATCTCCAATGCTGGCACTTGTGTGGAGTGGGGTGACCCCGGTGGGATCCACACCCTGCCTGTCTTCAGACTGCAAGGGAGAATCCAGCCCAAGTCTGGGGTGGGGCCAGAGACAAATTTTATAAGGCTTTGTATCCCTAGCCAAGCCTGGACACTTGACTTAAATCGGGCTCTTGCCACGCATAAACCAACAGCCAGGACAGTGTCCCCGAGCAGCGGCCCCGGGGAGGCACGCATGCACTCACAGTGGACACACAGATGGGGCTCTGATGGTAGTGGGCCTCCCTGCCCCAGGATCTCCCTCTTCTGCGAGGAGAGGAGACCAATCTGGCTTCCATCAGAAGCAACCCCAGTCCCTGACACTGGATTCAGGAGGCTGTGAGGGTCAGTCACGGGGTCTCCCTCTCCACAGGCACCGCTTGGGAGGGCAGGGAGGGGTCGGCCCCAAACCCCGGGACCTGTATGGCCCACAGGGAGCTTGTCTCAGCCTGGAAGCTTCTGGCTTCCTGCTCCCCAGCCCTGCTCTGTCCCCACCAGTTGGCTGCAAGTCAGATGCTGTGAGTTTAGACTATGGGGGGGCACCCCCAACGCGCTGTCCCCAGATCCCACCCTCCAGGACCTAACAGTCTAGGGAGGCAGCAAGCCCGATTAACCACAACGGGACAGGGGCAGGAATGGGGCCCCCAGGATCAGGGTGGGACCCTGCGTGGCTTCCTGGAGCTCAGGGCTCAGGGGGCAGAGTAGGCCAGGGGACAGGTGGTGGGTGCCCTGCAGACAGGAGGGCCCAGGCAGAGGGAGGGAGCCAGAGCCACCCTTCCCTTAGCTATTTTCCTAGGTGTTCAACAAGTGATCTCTGTATGTCCAGCTCTGCCTCCCACAGCAGTGACCACAACCTCTGTACCTTAGAGAAGCAAGAGAAAATAAACTGGGGGCAGATCCATTCGTTTCTAAATGCAATGTGCCCGGGCAAGGTGGCACATACCTATAGTACCAGCACCCTAGAGGCTGAGGCAGGAGGATTGCAATGAGTTAGAGGCCAGGCTGAACTACAGACCCTGTCTCAAAACGCACACACACACACACACACACACACACATACATACACACACACACACACGCAATGTGTGTTTAGTGCTTTCAGGGAAATAATTAGGGGCTGAACAGCAGGATTAGGGTAGGGGTAGCTTTACACAGACAGAGGGGAGATCAAATATGGAGGGAGAGGCAGAGGAGGCCGTGGAAGGGCTGCAAGGAGCGAGGTCCTAGGACAGAGGGCAAGGGACTCAGCGGGCCCGAGTCGCTGCACCGCTCCCCAGCCTGAGTGTGGGGTGAGCGGTGGTGGTGAGGGCTGTGGGGGCCACTGCAGAACACTCGGACTTTGGATCTTACTGCCCTGCTGGGAGTGGTGAGATCTGATGAATGGGCCGATTCATTTTTTGCCTGTTTGTTTGAGACAGGCTCTCACTCTGTAGCCCAGGCTGGCCTTGAACTTGCAGCGATCCACCTGCCTCAGCCTCTCGAGTGCCGGGATCACAGGCGTGCGCCTTGCACCTGGCCCAAATTAGATTCCTAACGCAATAGAAGCCTGCTGTGGCTGGCTCTGACTGACAGTTAAAGGAGCCTGGAACGTGGAGTGGGTGGCAGCGCAGAGGTGGGCGGGGACTGGAGGAGTTGCAGGTTCCTTATTAACGTGGTCCTGGAGCGGAGCTGGAACCCGGGCGGGGACAGGAATGTGCTGACCTGAGCAAGAGGCCGCCCCACCGTCTCTGCCAGGGAGGCAGGCAGGGATTCTCTGTGAGCCTACTGAGTGCTTCCCTTGCCCCTAGTGATCCTGCATGTCCTGTCTTGGCTCCCACTAGGATATTGCTTACCTGCCAGTGCCCAGATCATTTTTCAGCGCCCGTCTGCTGATGGGAATGCATGGACCTCATTCCTTCTGCAAGGCTGCCACCATGTGGTGAGCCCAGGAATGACAGCCAAGGGACCGCTGCCCAGGCGCAGTGACCCTGACCCATTGGAAAAGCGGAGTGCAGTGGAGGGGTGGGCCAGGCTGCGGTTCCCTGGGAGCACAGGGAAGTGAGGGGTGGACAGGGGCACAGGGGTCCCTTTCGCTCCGCAGTGCCTTTGCCCTGCTCCTTGGTCTCTTGGTTCGTCTGTTCTGGTGTCCCTAGCGCTCACCTTCGCCTGTCTCTCCCACCTCTCCCTGTCCACCCGTCCCTGTCTTCGTCCGCCTCGGTGGCTCTTTCTGTCCCCCCCCCGTCGTCCTCGCCCTCTCCTCACCTCCGCGCCCTTTCTGCCCTCCGTGCCACCCCCTTCCCACCGCGGCTCTCCGCTGTCTCCCCGCAGCCTGTCCAACGCTGCCGAGCTGGACCATCACTGGGTGGCTGAGGCCTGGCTCAACGACCTCGGCCTGTCGCAGTACTCGCGGGCCTTCCACGACCACCTGGTGGACGGCCGGATGCTGAGCTCTCTGATGAGGCGGGACCTGGAGAAGCACCTCAACGTGTCCAAAAAGTTGCACCAGGCCAGCATCCTGCTGGGCGTCGAGCTGCTCTCCCGAGTCAACTTCAGCAGGGAGGTGAGGCCCGTCCGCTCGCCGCCCTGCGCACCCAGACGCCTGTCGTCCAGCCTCCCACCCACCCACCGCTTCCTTCCTCTCTCTCCCTCCTTCCAACAGTCACGTGTCCGGCAGGCGGGGCCCGGGGTGGGAAGCCCAGGTTCACGGAAACCCAGAGAAGATGCCGGGGAACAGGGGGAGCTGCTGCCTGGCTGGGAGGCTGAGCTGCCGCCCAGAGGGGCCTCCGGGGATCCGCGGAGACAATGGGGGCAGAGAGCAGAGCACAGGTCCCCAGGCACAGGAGGCGCGAGGCGGGAGAGGAGCCAGGGCCCGCGGGCTGCGGTAGAGTCCGGACCCGCGCTCCTCCATCCAGAGCTCTGCCCGCCCGGCCTCCGCTCCAGCAGGGCCACCCAGAGCGCCTCCTCCTGTCCCAGGTCTGGGTCCTCATGGCTTCCTAGAGCGACGCTGGAGCACGGGGTCAGGAGAGGGGGACAGGGACTGTGCCGGTCCTCACCAGCCACACACCCGGCACAGGGAAGGGACGAGAAGGACCTGGCCCTGAGCCACGGGCTGACAGAGGGGCGGGTCAGGGCCCCGGGGTGTGCAGGCTGGCAGCCCTGGTGAGGGCGTCTCCGCAGGATACTCTGGGGCAACAGGAGAGGATGGGGCCCATGGGCGGTGTCTTACTCCGCAGTGCCCCTCTCTGCTGAGAGGCCCGGCGGACACCGGGAGCCTGGCCCCCACGGGGTGGACCCAGTGTCATCGAGCCCATCCCGTCAGGCGAGCCCGGGGGCTGCAGACGTGGGCGACACAGAGCCAGGGGTGCGGTGGGACCCCCACCCCGTTTCCCGGAACGGAGACCACGGGACCGTGTGGCTTGAGCAGCTGGGGACGATGGCCTGCTGCCCAGGCGGGCTGAGGCCCACTCCTCCCTGTGGACCTCGCCCCGCCTGTGGCCTCTGCACCCCCAACCCAGCTGAGCCCTGTCTCCCCCAAGGTCCTCCAGGAGCGCCGGGCCCGCTGCGAGACACAGAACACAGACCCTGTGGTGTGGACCAACCAGCGGGTGCTCAAGTGGGTGCGCGACATCGACCTGAAGGTGAGGGTGATCCTGCCCTCCAGCGTGCGCGCACTGCCGGGCTGTGGGAGCCGGGTCTCACTCCTGCACCTCCCGGTCCCGACGCCGTGTCATGGAGGGGACCCCGAGTGGGCCCCGCCCCACCCACGTCCTGAGCGGGCGGGCGCGCTGGGGCCCGGCTCTGGGTCCGGAGAGGCCCCGCTGCCCGGCCGCCGCTCTGCCCTCAGGAGTACGCGGACAACCTGACCAACAGCGGTGTGCACGGCGCGGTGCTGGTGCTGGAGCCCGCGTTCGACGCCGAGGCCATGGCGACCGCCCTGGGCATCCCCAGCGGGAAGCACATCCTGCGCAGGCACCTGGCGGACGAGATGAGCGCCCTGTTCCACCCGGCCAGGTGAGCGCGGGCCTCCGGGAAGGGGGAAGCCCTGAGCGCCCGCCCCTGCGGTGCGGAGGAGGAGCCGCTGCGGGGAGGGCGAGGCCACCGAGGCGGGATTCCGGCTGGGGACCCAGCCCGCAGGGTGAGCTGGTCCCCGGGAGGGGACGGCGGCACAGGCAGGAGGGGCTCCTAACGGTGCTCCCGGCGGCGGGCAGACGCAGCAGCGCCTCTGCCCCGCCTCCGCACCGGAGAAGCAGCTAGGCGAGCCGGACACCCCAGACCCGCCCACGGGGTCTCCTCCCTAGAGGACCGGGTCACCCAGCACTCGCTGGGCGGAGCCTTTCCTCCAACACCCCTTTACCGACCAGAAATCTGTTCTAAGGGGCCCTGCCTTGCCCCCATGGTCAGCCAGCCAGCCAGGAGCAGGGCCCAGGCCTCTCTTTCTGTGAATACGGCGAGTTGCACTAAGGGCTCGCATAGGTCGAACCGAGATTTCTGGGATAAATCTCGCTTGGCCACAGTGTTTCGTCCTTGTTCTCTGTCGCCGGATTTGTTTTGCTAGTATTTACTTGTTTATGATACTAGGGATTGAACCCAGGGCCTTTGCACTGAGCGACATCCCCAGTCCCTTTTTAAATTTATTTTTGAGACAAGGTCTTATTAAAGTGCCCAGGCTCGTCTCAAGTTTGGGATCCTCCTGCTTCAGCCTCCCACAGCGCTGGGATTATAGGTTTTTGCCAATGCACTCATCTATTTAGCTAGGATTTTCTGAGGACTTTTGCATTTGTATTTGTAAGGGATATTGATCTACAGTTTTCTTGCGATGTTTTTGCCTGGTTTTAGTATCAGGGCAGTATTGGCCCCTTGAAATAAGTTGGGATGTATCCTCTCTCTCTCCTCTTCTGTCTTTTTGGAAGAGCTGTCAAGACTGGTGTTCGTTATTCTTTTTAGACGTTTGGTAGAATTCGCCAGTGAAGCCATCTGCTTCGAAGCTTTTCTTTATGGGAAGTGTTCTGATTACTAATCCAATGTCTTTACTGGTTAGGGATTCATTTAGGTGTCTCTTTCTTTGGAGTCAGTCTCAGTAGTCCATAAGCTTTCTAGGAATTTGTCCGTCTCGTCTAGGTTAGCTGATCTGTCGGCATGCAGTTAATCCTACGATCGTCCCCCACGGATACATCCAATTTCTGATAAATTGTAGCAATAGCCCCGCTCACCTGCCTTTAGTGCTATTTCCCGGTCAGTCCTCCCTGAAGGTTTGTGCACTGTGCAGACAGAGCCCAGATTTGCATCTGACTCGGGCCTGAGCCCTAAACCCCCAAACACATGTGTCTTGGGGGACAGCAGGGCCACTCCTGGTGTCACCAGGTGGCAGCCTTTGGGTCCTGTTGTCCTGAAATGCACCCCCGGTCAGCAGGTGAGACCCCACAGCAATATCACGGGGGTCTTACCAGTGCAGATTCCTGGGCCCCATCAGACCTGCAGGACCCTCAGCAGCTGACAGCCCAGGGATCAGCCCGCTCAGCATTTTAAGGTCCTTCCTAAGGAGAGCAAACTTTGACGAGGCTCTTACTCTGCAAGCTGGGCAGTCAATCCAGAGGAAGCCTTTTTTTCTCCGATCCTTCACTTTTCCTGACCTTCTGGCTTGGGCCTTGTGATGTGGGACAGACCTAAAACACTCTGAGCCAGGAGAGTGGCTCGAGCTTTTGCAGCTGATGAAACCTGACTATCAGGGGTCCACAGCTGTGCTCAGGTTTGTCTGGGACCAGTGGGTGAGCTCCAGAGAAGGTTCTGGCGGGGACCATGGGGTGGCCAGTGGCTCTCGGGGCTCACCTGACAGCGTAGGGCTCCTGTGGGAGGGCAGGGAGCGGAGAGAGCTCCTCGGGCGAGGCGTCAGAGGCCGGAGGGCCAGGAATGGAGCAGCAGCGCCAGCCCGGCTCCCACCTTGGTCTCTGTCACACACTGCTGCCCCACACGTCCATGCATGGGTCGGGGTCCCCGTGTGGGATTTCACGAACCCCAAGGCCCTTTTCTGAGATCCTGCCACCAGCCAGGGCAGTGGACTTCATCAGCACAGGGCACACAGGGATTCATGGGATGCTGGGGATTTTAGATCACGGCTCTGTTGTGTCACAGCAGAGCAGATCAGTGCTACAGCCAAGTGCTACAGCCCAGTGTCACAGCCGAGCTTTACACCTCAGTGCGGCAGATCTGGAACACAGCTCTTGTAATTTGAAGACTGAAGAATCCAATGGTCAGGTGAAGAGATGGAAAAACCCCTTTACTACACGAGTGAGCCTCAGTGGGCTCAGAGGGGTCTGAGAGCGCTACCAGAAATGACAGCCTCCTTATAGAGAGAGCTACAGGGTGGGCGAGCATGCTCCGTGAAGCAGAGGGGAGGGCGGAGGTACAGCCCAACGCTGAAGTAAAGGGGCGGAGTTACAGAACGTTCCTGAAACACGTGCCCTGTGAGCATGCTCAGTGAAGTGTGGGGGCGGAGTTACAAAACCGTCCTGAAGTAAAGGGGCAAGTTGGCCACTACTTTGGGCTAGGAAAACCTGATTCTGCCCATTCCTACCAATGCAGAATCGGATGCAGGAGGGGGTTAGGGTCTGGGCAACCTCTAGTCAAGAATCAATATAGAGGAACTGATCAGGGTATCCTGGTTTGTCAGTAATGACTTTCCAGACTGCACACACAGTCTGGACTTCCAGGGTTCCATGAGGGGGGCCACCCTACATTAAACTGGGGCCAATCTATTTTGCAGAGGGTCCTCCACCTTGAGGGCTTCAGTCTTAACTCCATATTCCCCACTAAATCCTTTCTTAACACTTTTGACCATGCAGTCTAGGACTGTGGGTTTACTATGGTTATTACCCTTGGGGTATGTAGCGCCCTTGAAGGGTGGCCCAACAGACAGAGAATGGGAGCCCCCCAAAGAGCCCACACAGGTGTCCACCTGGCCTCGTCCCGTGGGGGGTAGGCGCACCTTGGCCAAGGCGCATGGGTGATGCCTTCCCTGGTCAGCCTCCCATCAGAGGAGGTGAGTGCCCATCACGCTAGACAACATCACAGGGCTGGGCCCCTTCGGACTCCGTAGCCGAAGCCGTGGGTCCGCACAGATGAGGTGGGAGGGACCACGCCGGTCACATCGCTCACAGTCACGGGTGCTCATGCAGGGCACATCTTAGTTCTTTCCACATGCCCTGCCCTCCCTCCCTCTCCACTCGCTCCGTCTCTTGGCCTCTTTCTCATTTGCAAAGGTTCTGTCTCCCTATTTCCGGTCACATATCTTTTATTTTGCTCTTTATTTATATTTTGGGCTTCCCGTATAAAAGAAACCATGCAATGTTTAAGACCATGTATCTGATTTATTTCAGTTAACATTTTGATCTCTAGATGCACCCGCGTTCCTATAAGTGACTTGTAATTTTTACGACAGAGTAGTACTGTCATATATAAATACCACATTTCTTTATCCCTTTATCTGTTGATAGGTAGATATAGATTTCTATATTGAAGATTTAGTCATTATGAATGGGCTGCTATAAACATGGGTGTGCAGTATCCCTGTCACAGGATATCTGACTCTCTCAGGAAGGCAAGTAGGAGGGAACTAGCTGGATCAAGTGGAATTTCCAGTTTTAGTTTTCTGAGGAATCCCCATCCCGATTTCCTTAGTGGTTGTACCACTTTACAGTCCCCCAACGATTGAGAAGGAAAGACATCGTCTTCCCTGCAGCCTCACCACCGTCTGTTACTGGCTGACTTCTCGATGACGGCCGTTCCTTCTGGAGTGAGGTGGAACCTCAGCGTCGTTTTCGTTTGCACCTCTCTGATGGCAGACATTGGACGCTTTATCATGAATGTACTGGCTCGGCTCTCTGTATTTCTTCTTCTGAGAAGTATCTGTTCATTTCACTTGCCCATTTTTTAATTGGGTCTTTTATTGTTTAAGGGGGTCTAATTTTTAAAGTTTTTTAAATATATTCTAGTTGTCCTCTGTCTAAGGAATAGCTGGGAGAGAATTTTTCACATTCTGCAGGCTGTCTCCTCACTGTTGGTTATTTCCTTTGCTATGCAGAATTTGATGTGTTCCTGTTTGTTGGTCCTTGGTGCTGTTTCTTGTAAATTGGATTCTGTTCGGAAAGCCTTTGCCTCCACCTTTGTCTTTGAGAGTTTTATGTCGATTTTATCTTCCAGTAATTTAAGTGTTGCTGCTTTAACATTGAGATCTTTGATCCATCCTTATTTTAGGTTAGTACACGGTGAGATACGTGGGTCTAGTTTCAATCTTCTGCAAGCAGACAGCCATATTTTAAAGAGGCAATTTTTCCTCCAGTGTAAGGTTTTGGCCCCTTTGTCAAAGATCAGAGCTGGGGCTGTTTCTGCATCCTCCACTCTGCTCCAGATGTGAAAATGCATTATTTTTGCGGTGCGTGGTGGCTGAGCACTGAACTCCAGTGCACTTCCTAGCTAAACTTCACCTGACCTCACAGGGCTGCCCTGCAGTGCCCCCTGAGCACACACAGAAATCACCTTTGGAGACAGGAAGTGACAAGCTCCAGGCCACACAGCCGCCACCGCTGCCTAGCCCGAGGCACCAGAGGGTGGACAGAGAAGGCTTGGGTTAAGGTTGAGGAGAGTGCAGAAGGCGCTCTGTCACCACAGGGCCCAGCCCTGCTGTCGAAGAAAGATGGGCTGTCCAGGGACTTAGCTCAGCTGCACAGCACTTGCCTGGTCCCGAGTTCAATCCCTGGTCCAAAGAAGTAAGGATGGGCTTGAGCCCTGGGGATTCTTGTGGTTTGCCCTAAATTGAAGAGAAAGTGGGCAGGTGGGAAAACTTGGGTTCAGGACCCCAAGCCCTTCTTGCTCCCCAGGGCCGATGCTCAGCACAGGCGTTGGAAAACTGTCCAAGGACGGCCGGGGAATAGGTCAGGATTTGGGAGCCATGGCTTCAAATCAGCCATCAACGACGCGTCAAAACGAACACAGCTTTGTAAATAAATAAAACTTTATTCGCAGAAGCAGTCAGTCATCAGCCCACACGCTATGGCTGCCCAGACCCGATGTGAAGTTGCCAGTGTCGTCTCGCACGAGACGGTGTGATGGGGGTGACTTTAGGCACCAGGCCAGGTGGGGGACGTGGGTTTCCAATCCAGAGCCGGGGACTGTTCCTGCCGCTTCACACATCACGGCAGGGTTGGCTACAACGGGGGGCTTCTCCCACCCGTTCTTGCTTTCCCAGTAAGGGTTACAGCACACCAGAGTCAGGGACGAGACTGGAGTCTCAGGCTCAGATCTGAGCTCTGCCACCACCACCAACTGTGATTTTGGGCCGACTGCTCACCCTCCCTGTGCCTCCTCTCTCTGTCTGCGAGCAGGGTTGCAGTCCCATGTCCGGGCCCATAAAGTATGAAGGTCACATGAGTTCCCATGAGGCACCCGGCAGGGCTCAGCACGAGGTCGCCGTCACCTGCAGGTGGGATGGGCAGTGGCCAGGGGGCCGCAGGGGCCAGACCTCCCCTGCTGACTGAGATGTGTGTCGCCAGCTCCACAGGCACCCGGGAGGCTGAGCGCTTTGGGACCCCTCCCCGCAGGGCCTCCAGTGTCACCCGGGCAGGGAAGGAGGACAGCGGTGGCCTCAAGTACAAGGCTGGCCGGGTGAGTGACGAAGTGCACCCGGGTCCTGTCTCCCGGGAGAGGCCGCTTCCCGTGGTTGCTCAGCTGCCCCATGAAGGCGAACGCAGGGCCAGCTCACGGGGACATCTGGGAGACAGCTCTGGGTGCCTCCGCCATGGGACCTGAATGACACCTTGACCCGTGGCCCACGTCCCCAAGTCGTAGAGTCCCCCAGAGCCCAGGTGCTGTGTCAGAGTCACTGCGGCTGCTGCAGGCCCTGAGGCCTCTCAACCCCCACTTCCCGAAGCAACTGCCAGGGTCGGGGCCCCACAGGCCTCCAGGGATCCCCAAACTGGGAACTGCCAGCTTCAATTTTAACTCCAAGGATGAGACCGACCATAGGGCTCAGCCCACGGTGACCAAACCCAACAGCAGGAGGACAGATGTCCCGGGCCTGACCCTAGACAGACATCAGACAGAGAGGGCAGGCCCTCAAGAGTCCCGGCCCGCAGCACGGCGTGGCCAGGGCCGGATCCCACCTGCACCCTCAGGACCTAAACACAATGGGAGCAACGTCACTCCCAAAAGGGCAAACATGTGAACACCTCACTGTCCCTGTGACAGCACAGACCCACACATACCACAGGCAGAGGCACGGGGCTGGGGAAAGGCTACAGCCTCCTTAGGAGCAATAGTTGTTTTTTTAAGTGGAGAAACACTCATCTAAAAAGAAAATACCCCCGGGCGTGGTGGCACACGCCTGTAATCCCAGCACTCGGGAGGCTGAGGCAGGAGGATCACTGTGAGTTCAAGACCAGCCTGGGCTACATAGTGAGTTCCAGGTTAGTCTCAGCTACATAGTGAGACTCTGTCTCAAAAAACAAAACAACAACAACAAAAAAGAAAATCAGCCAAGCAAACAAATAATCCCACAGCCTTTCCATGACTGTGCAGAGAGGTTAGGAGTCAGGCAGTTTCACAGCAGCCGGGGAGCAGTGAGCACTCCCTGCCCAGCAGAGCCTGCTCTTGGTACCCAGGGTGCCTCTACAGGTGTGGCTTCTGCTCTTTACAACACCCTGGGGCAGGCTCTTACCTTTCTTTTGCGGGGGAGATGGAGTGGTATTAAGGGTTGAACCCAGGGCCTTCACACTGAGCCAAATCCCTCAGCACTTCTAAAATTTTTTATTCTGAAATACTTTCTCACTAAGTGTCTAGGCTGGGCTTAAACTTGCAATCCTCCTGCCTCAGCCTCCCACTGCTCTGGAATCACAAGTAAGTGTCACTGCCCCCAGATAGTGCTCCCATTTTGTACCTGAGAAGATGGAGGCTAGGACAGGGGATGTGACTTGTTCAGTGCACATAGCTGCAGGGACCCAAATGCTAATCGCCACATTTCCAAACCCCTAACCCTTCACCATAGCAGAAGTGTGAAAATATTCCCTCAGGACTCGGGAACACGGCCGGACCCCAACCCCTGCCATCAGCCTGACTGTGCTCCCTGACAGCTGGGAACAAAATCTCTCCTAAAGTTAACTCACAAAACTCTGTCCGTCTCCCTGAGCAGTGGCATCACATTACTGAGCAGAGGAGCACAGAGAGGTTAAGGGAGTCACTCGAGGTCACACAGCGCATTTTACAGACCTCACCCACTGAATTCTTGTCTCTCTTCTTTCTGTCCTTCGGTTTCGTTCCTCTCGTTCTCAGCTGCCGCTGGGGAAGATAGGACGGGGTTTCGGCGGCAAAGACCTCGATTTCCACGACGACTATGGCTCACTTCAGGACGAGGACCGCGCAGACCACGACCCCCAGGGCAGGCTGGAGCGGGGCCGCCTGGGAGGCTGCAATGGCCTGGAGGTCACCGACGTGTGAGGGACCCGACTTGGAGAGGCCGAGGAACGGGCCAGTGGCCCTGAGCCGGCCCCATGTGCAGGTGACCTCAGGCCGGGGATGGAGACCCAGCTGCCAGCTCAGTAGGAGGCAGGCGCGGCCTGTCCTGGGGCGTGGAGCCCTCCCGGGTGTCACAGAGCTGTGAGCTGGGGAGGGGCCACAGGTCCCCAGCACCCCGCCCCTATAGCAGCACTGGGACTCCAAGCAGCCCAGCGGCCGGCACGAGAACAGCACCTGCAGGGGCAGCAGGCGGCAGGAGGGGGCAGCTATTACGGCAGCTACTGGGGCCGCAGCCGCAGCCTGCGGGGACTGGACTCTGACCAGCGTCACCAACTTGCCCTGGGGTGAAGCTGGCAGGGCTGGTCGTCTGTGTCTCGGGGGGTGGATGTGTTGGGGAGCTGTTTGCCGTGGTCCCCGAAGGGCAGGTGACAGGTGGGCGGCGGGCGCGGCAGCAGCGTCCCCCACCTCCTGTGACCAAGGAGACGGGCTGCTGAGTTCGGCGGGTGACCACTGCCCCGGTGTGGGGTGAGCTGGGCATCCGGGACGAGGGGACACTCGCCATTGCTGACAGCCCCTTGCTGTGATGTCCCCGTCACCCTGAGGTACTGGTCCCATGGGGTCTCAGGGTGGCGTGGCGAGACCCTGTTCTGCTGTGCACTTTTCCCCCGTGGCCTCAGCTCTCTGAGCCTCAACACTCCTGGGGCCTCCGAGCAGATTAACACTCGCTAACATCCATAACTCACTTCTCTTCTCGGGGGCGATGGGGCATTGCAAGGTGCAGCGGGGTGCGGGACTGTCCCCGTCACAGCACAGAGACAGCCCTGGCCCGGTGTCGCCAGCTCCACAAAGGGAGGAGGAAGGGGCGGTGTCCAGATCGCCGAGCCCCCGCACGGCTCACAGGACACAGGATTCTTGTGAGCACAGCCCTGAGGATCAGGAGCCCCGGGTCCAGGCCTGAGCGGCCGGCCGCCTGTCTCTGTCGTGTGACAATCAGGACAGGACGCACAGTCTGCACACGCTGGTCCCGGGCAGGTCCTTGGCCAGAGCCGCGACACTCCACTTCCCTCTGAGGCCACCTGCTCTGGACCTGAAGGAAGACTGCAGAGACTCTGTGTCTCCCGCCCGAGGAGACGAGCCCTGGCGCCCTTGACCTTGACCCATGGCCTCATCCCCTACCAGAGATCACTGGCGGCTTCTCGCTGACCTGCGCTGTGGCACAGCTTTCCCAGGACCTGAACTAAGTGCCTAGCTGGTAGGCAGGCTGCCAGGGCCAGGGTGTGTAAGCTGGCTCTGCAGAAGCTCCAAGCTCCGGGGCAGGTCTGAGAGCTTTAGTACACGGCTTCCTCGCAGCCCAGAGAGGACAGAGAACTCTCTCTCCAGGTGCGGGGTGACCTGGAACCTAGGAGCCTGCCCCCAGGGGGCGGTGACACCCGCAGGGCCGAGAGGGCAAAGAGGAGCTGAGCACAGTGCGCAGTCTGGAAAGCAATGTTCACCCACACGCCAGAAATGATGCTGGCACCTGGGTCCTGCTGCGGACAAGACGGGAAAGTGGACCACAGGGCGTCACTGGGGCAATGGCGTGGCCAAGACACTCAGCAGGAGGCCAGCGGGCCTGGGGCAACACCAGTGACCTCTGACACATCTGGGGACCCAGTGATGGTGTCACGGTGCCCTGGGGGAAAGGCTGCCTTCCCTGGCAGCCAGCAAGGGTCTGGACCGACTTCGCAGTACAGGAGGTGCAGGTGAGCTTGGTTAACCCTAACTCCACTCCACGGCGGGCAGGGCGAGCCGGGGCTGCAGGCTTGGCAGACACTGGCAGTAACCAGTCAGCAAAGGTTGGCAGAGCAGCGGCACAGGCCAGAGGCCTCCCACGTCCTGGCCACGATGACGGAGGTCCTGGTCCCTAAGGGTGGCCAGGCTCCAGGCCTGGGACCCTGCAGAGGAGCCCTCTGGACACCGCTGTGCTGTGCCCTGGAAGGGAGCCAGGGCAAGGAAGGAACCCCACAGTCCTTCTGGAAATGGGGGCCAGAGCACCACGAGCCACCCTCCTGGGGGGCTCTGGGCATTCTGACCCCACACTGCTGAGCAGCCCTGTGTCCGGGTCTGCACAGGGCCCTCCCCAACACGGCTGCCTCAGACCAGGCTGCAGGGCCACCACGGAACCCTGGGCCAGATGAGTGCAGGGGGCCGGAGGGGCCTCGAACAGGGTCAGCTCAGCCAGCGGGCCTGGGGCTCGGCAGACGTGACTTCAGCACACACTGCGGTGGCCCCCAGGGCTCTCCCCAGCCCAGGCCCCTTCCCACAAAAGCAGCATGTGCTCTGGCTGTCACGCCGCATTTTGGGCTCCAGCGGGCTCTTCCCCAGGAGGCGAGGGAGAGGAGCCCAGGGACGGGGGCCACTGGGCCTAGCACCGCTGCCTGCAGTCAGCCGGCGAGGGCACTCTGGCTGCACCGGAAGGGAGCTGTCTGTGACCAGAGACCAGGTCGGCAGCCGTGGCCCCAAAAGGTCCCCCAAGGGATTGTTAACACTGTAACAATAAACACTACTGGTGACTGGGTGTGTCTGTCCTGTTCAGTTTCCCAGCAGCCTCTTCGGCCGAGGCGATGAGCCCATTTCATGGCTGGCGAAATGGAGGGTGGAGGGGCTCACCCTGCTCCGTCGAGCTCAGAAGTCCCAGCAGGGACTCGAACCGATCCGCCACCCCACCCACCCCTCACCCTTCTCTGTCAGGTGGCACCATGCAAGGTGGAATGTGAGTGCCCCTGGGGCTGGGAAAGGTGCAGTCTGCTGTCCCGGGACAGTCAGGGGAGGGGGTCCGCCAAGTCGCCAGCCCGGTGTCTGCTTCTGTCCTGCTCCCAGGACAGGAGTGTGTGCACTGCCGGAACGGACCTTTGGGGTGGATCCCGGGTCCCAGCTCGCAGCTCTGACTGTTGTCTGTGCAGTCTTCGCGGGTCCGGATGCTGAGAGGGCTCTGGGGTCAGCTCGAGCGCCAGCGTTTCTCACGGGCTCCCAAGGGATGCTGCAGGTCTGGAGACCACACATCGGCAGCAGAAAGGGCAAAGGCGGGGGACAAGAACAGGCCCTTCAAGGGCACCTGCTAACAGCCAGGCCGCCACAAACTCATCCGTGGTGAACCCTCGTACCCACTCACCTTCCACAAAACCCATCTCTGCACACGGGAGCCTCCAGGGCACACCCTGGATCAAGCCCCGGCAGTGTCCTGTGGCCCTGGCTGCCCTGGCACTGAGGAGACAGGAAGGGGAGGGTGAGGCCTCACCTCTCCGAGTCTCCCTAAGCTTCTCCAGAGCCCAGGACACTCCCAGTTCTCAGGACAACTAGCCACTGAAACTTGGTTTGCAGGTTTGTTCTTTGCACCAAGGGCTTTGCCTAAATGGCTCCTTTAACCCTAATGCCATACCAAGGGGCGTGAGCCGTTACCAACCCCACTGACGGGTAGGAAGGTACACAGCTCTGCTGCACCCCACAGCGCCTCAGCAGAGTGCGGGTGGACTCCATCATCTGTGTCGGACCAAAGGCCCTGAGCAGCCACAGCCGCCGGCCTAGCGCTCTCCAGACCTCCACGCGTCCCCGCTGACACCTGGAGAACACGATTTCCCACCTCGGAGCTGCTCCTCACCCTCCGTTTCACATCTGGGTTATCAAAGCTCCTTTCTCAGGCGCATCAGCCCCTCTGAGAGCTCTGTACACTGCACGTGGTGCTGGGCAGTGCACAGACAGGCGGTCCCAGCATCGCAGAAAGTTCAACAAATGCTCACACGCACGGCTTCTCCATCAGGCCACACTCCGGGACGGGGTCCTGCGGCCCCTGCAGAGTTTTCTATCCCCTGATGGCCCCGTGAGGAGGAGCTCACTACCCAGGAGTCTCCCTGCCACTTCTGAGCTGGGGGCTGGAAAGTCACTCATGGGGACTGCCTGTCTCTGCCTCCTGATTCCTGTCTCTCCTGCTCTCTAGACCTAAGCTTCTTGTGCTCTTACACAGATACCTGTATCCCTGCTTTACAGAGACAAAAAGACAAGATCACACAACTGGTAGTAGTAGAATTAGGTTTCATATCCAGCTTACATTATATCCTCCTTTAACCTGGATATTATGAGTCTGGTAACATGATCACATGGAGAATCAACTTTTTAAAAAGTCACAGTTAGCTCACTTATCTTGTAGCAAAGGTACTCATAAGAGTCACTAAAGAACTCTTGTTAAAAATTCCCAGATCCTATTCCAACACTAGTAATTTAGAGTTCTGACATAGGTCCTGCCAATCTACATTTGAGAGGTAAAATGCATATGCCCAGGCCTCGGCGTTTCTGCTGCAGTACATAAGCAGTGGGTGTAGAGCATGTGAATCTTTTAAACCTCCATGAAGCCGGGTGTGGTGTCGCGCGCCTATGATCCCAGCACTCGGAAGGCTGAGGCAGGAGGATCGCTGTGAGTTCAAAACCAGCCTGGGCTACATAGTGAGTTCCAGGTCAGTCTCAACTACATAGTGAGACCCTGTCTCAAAAAAAAAAAAAACTCCTTGAGTGATTCTGGGCCTGGAGTGGCCCCGGAAGGACCGCCCCTGCAGACAGCCCCTGGGCCGGGGCCGCGTGTGACCACACCACTCGTCCCTCCCTTAGAGTGTTTTCACGTGGTGTCTACAAAGCTCTGCACTCTCCGGGGCAGCGCGTGACGCCCGCTGAGTGCCCAACCCTCTGGGTACCAGGGAGAGGCTTTGGTGACATTCATAAGCGTGCCCTGCCTGGATGCCTCCGTGCTCAGCTCGCAGTGGGGTCCATGTCAGTGAGAACCGGAAGCCCGCACGGATCTGACCCGGCGGAGCTTGGGAGTGAATGCGAGGGGCCCACAGGGAGCTTGGCCGCCCCGCTGTCACTCCGGACCCCACTCCATCAGGGGTTAGGGTGACTCCCACAGAGAGCTTTTCTCCAAGGACAGTGAACGCGGGCCTTGTTCTGGGTGTTGTGGTTCTGGGGATTGAACCTATGCACCCCGCTGTACCCTGAAACCGTTCTTTATTTTAAGACAGGGTCTCATAAATTGTCCAGGCTGGGCTTCCACTCGTGACCCTCCTGCCTCAGCCTTCCAGAGTGCTGGGATGACCGGTGTGCGCCACCGCGCCCGGCTCTAAGCAGCAGTTTTATGGAGCTACTTTCTATGAGACAGTCACAGCCTTCTCCCCTTTCCGACCCCAGCTTATCCCGAGCATGCGTGACCGCGTTTTACAGAGCAGGAAGCTGAGGCTCCAAAGGGCTGAACAGCGCGCGCAGGGAGCCGAGCTCCAGAGCCGGAGCTGGGCGCCCCTTTGGCCGCTCTAACTGTAAGCTTACCCGGGCCCCGTTCCCAGCCCTGCTGACTGCACAAATCCAGGCCTATCGAACCTCATGCGAGGTCCCCCAGGACAAAAGGGCCCGGAGGGCGGCAGTTTTGGTCAACAAGGGCAGGCACGACCGAAGGCGGCAGGGCAGGGCCGCAGGGCGCCGAGATGTTCCCAGAATCCGCGACGCTGACCGCAGCCGGCTTCCGTCTCCCCGGCTGTAACTGGATTCGCAGAGCTGTGACTCAGCCTCTCCGCCAGTCCTTCTGTTCCGGTCTCTGCCCTCCTCCGGGGCGCGGATCTGCGTTGCAGGCTGCATTCCGGGGTGACCCCGGTGCGTCGAGAGACAGCAGGCTCCGTGGTGTCCGGAAGCCGCATTCGCACTGCGCCTTCCGACCAATCAGCCATCTCCGGAGGCGGGTTTTAGGGAAAGCGCCACCAATAGCCTTTCATTCCTCGCCAGGCGCGGCTCCGGACGGACCCCTGCGCTGTGCACTGTGCAGCAGCAAGATGCCTGGAAATAAAATCACACCTTTGTGGGAACCGAGGGCTTAACAAGGTGGGCGGAGGGTTCGAGTCCCAGCTCGCCCCTCCACAGCTGACGTCTCTGGGCAAACAGGGACCCTCTCCGAGCCTGGTGTCCCGAAGAGGTTGGAATCCACAGGGCCGGTGAGCACAGCGGAAGCGAGGCGGGTGTTGAGGAATTGCCTGGTGAGCTCTTCGTCCTCAGATCCTCCAGCCACTCCAGAGGCTGAGGTAGGAGGATCTTTCAAAGAATCAACTCTTTCATCCATTGATTCTTTGTGTTGTTTTCTTTGTCTCCATTGCATTAATTTTTGCCCACTGCATTAATTTCGATCTGGTACAAGTTTTGAGCTTGATTGGCTCTTCTTTTTCTAGAAGCTTGAGGTTCAATTTGAAGTTCAGTTATTGAGCCCGTTCTGTTTTCCTGATATGGGTATTCACTGCCATAAATTTCCCCCTCGGGTCTGCTTTCATTGTGACCTTTAAGTTCTGATATATTATATTGTCATTTTTGTTTAATTGTAGAAACTGTCTAATTTCTTCTTTAATTTTATCTGTGACCCATTGATTGTTCAGGAGGGTAGCATTAAATCCATGTTTTTTAAGTTCTTGTGGTTTATGTTGCCATTGATTTCCAATTTTATTGTGCATTATGGTCTGATAATATGCATGGGTTAATTTCAGTTCTTTTGCATTTACTTGAGCATGTTTAGTGAGCTAGTGTGTGGTCTCTTTTGGAGACTATCACATGTGCAGCTGAGAAGACTATGTATTCTAATGACGTGGAGTGGAACACCCTGCAGACATCTGCTGAGTCTATTTGTTCAAACGTTTGGTTCAATTTTGATATTCATTGTTGATTTTTTTTGTGACAGTAAGAAACTGTCCCCCAACTGTATTCCCAACTAATACAACTGTATTAGTGCTTATTTCATTTGTTCACATCTGTTAATATTTGTTTTATATAGTTGAGTGCACTGCCATTTAGTGCATATATTTTTACAATTGTCATCTCTTCCTCTTGGATTGTTCCCTTTACAAGGTTGTAGTAACCTTCTTAATCTCTTTAATCAGCCTTGGCTTGAAGTCCACTTTGTCTGCAAATAGAATAGCTACCCCTGCTTTTTTCAGGTTCCTGTCATGTGAAATGCTGTTTTCTGTTCTTTTACTTTCAGTCTATGAATTTCTTTATGAATTAAATGTGTTTCTTGTATGCAGCATATTGTTGGATTTTGCTTCTTGATTATGGTGAGCCTGTTTCTTTTGATAAGTGAATTGAGACCATTATCATTGATAGTTACAACTGACATGTATTGACTTGTCCTTGTCATGTATTTTCCTGTTGTTGGCTCTCTTTTCCCCCTCTGTTTAATTTCTTGTCTTGCCCGGTAGATTCATTCTGTTAAGGTTCATGGAGTTGTAATGCTTGTTATCTCTTTCTAGAATAACCGTCAGAGCACTTTGGAGAATTGGTCTGGTGTTCATGAATTTCCTCAAGTGTTCTTTGTCATGGAAGTATCTCATTTCTCCACCATTTGTGAAAGATAGTTTTGTGGGGTACATCAGTCTGAGCTGGAGATTGGTTTCTTTTAGGGCTTGAAATACTTCACTCCATGCTTTCCTTGACTTGAGGGTTTGTTTGTGTTGAGAAGTCCGCTGTGATTCTGATGGCCTTTTTTTTTTTTTATGTGATTTGTTTCTTTTTCTCCAACA